GTTTGTGTACGTACACAAACAATGTGCATCTGTTTTGAGAGTCCCGACCGCAAACACGTCGCTGTTAATGGTTCCGCTATGAAGTTACTGCGAGAGACGGTCGGTGAGTTATAAAAATAATACTACATTTTACCAATTATTTTAATATTTGAGACGAATTACAACAATAATATYCGACTTACGACGTGTTAACATTTTAAAACCTATGAAAGATTGATTAGACATTTAAATGAAGGCCATTTTTTTTACATCGATAATCAGCGGAAACCAGRAATTTACAACATGCTTACACAAACACGGAAGGAAAACAGCTCCTGGGACAAATTACAGCAATAAATTACTTTTTTGGTAACTTCCTCAAATCGATCGAGCTGCAGGTGAGGAAGAGGTGTGTGTGTGTGGGGGGGGGTGTGTCTACCACCATGGCAACAAGGTCGCGCATGCGCACAGCAGTCCTTTCACTCTGCGCATGCGTACAAGGCTGATTCGATCATTAAATGGTCTTTGCCGACAGAAATACAATAGTGTATTGAACTGATGTGAAAAAACATAAACCCACAAGCTGATACGAACAACTCCACGATTAATCTCAGCAGGAGTATTTCTTTACACTCCTAACACTTGTTTTTCATGGTACATGGTAAAAACATGCATCTATAACATTAAATAAAGTGTTAAAACTAGAGCACAGAGCGCATATCAGGGTYGGGCACTGCTGTGTTGAATTTCTCTGCAACAATAAAACATTTGAGCTTAGCGCTTTTTTCCAACTATAGCATGTTTTAAATCGAGATGGACAAACAAAAATCCAGAAGCACGCTCCTGTCGGCCTTTTTTTCTTCTTCCTGCAGCTAAAATCGCAGAATGGTGGCACATTATTACCCTGAGCCTCTGACAAAGCTCCGGAGGTGGTGGGAGCGAGGCTCGCGAGGAACTCGACGGGATGTCGACGCCTCAGATGGCTCCTCAGGTTCGTTGTGTTCCCTTTGGCCAGCACGATTTTTCGGCACAGACGACAAATGGCCTCGTCTGCGTTCAGCGGTCGGCCTCGCTCGTCCGCYTTAAAGCCGAAATAAATCCAGACCATGGACTTTCCTCTCGGTTTCCCGATGAGATCCATGTTTTCCTCCTCTGTTCTACCCTCTCTCTCTCCCCCCCCTCACCCGCCCCTCTCTGCAGAGCTGCAGCAGAGCTGAGCCGGCCCGTCACAGCAAAACACGGCGGGGAAATGGAGTCAAGGTTTTAAATGTCAGACAAGGTTGTTTTCATGCAAAACCGCGTTATGTTTTATTAAGTCAAAACATTTACTAATACACGAAATACAACCACTAGACGAGGGGAGTAAAGTCTATTGGCAATATTTCTATGTTTTTATGACAACACTGGTCTGGGTTGCCAGTTCCTGATAAACTTCTGCAAATTTAGCTAAAAAAAAAAAAAAAGGGAAAATGCTTCCAGATCTGCAATTAAGTTGATTAAAATTAGTGTATTTTACAATAAAACCACAGTTACAACCTGACCCCTTCACCCTTCATTTGCTTCCATCATTAAAGCCATAACGGCTTTTTTAAAATGTGATTTTTCAAAGTCTTTCTGTATATTTATCATCTATTACTTGTGTTTCTGACTGTGAGGGAGCACCTCCCTGCTCCCTGGTTATTACAAAMCACCTGTGTCGTTACTCAGACACCGTGCCATCTCCTTCCACGACTTTGACTACTTTGATAAGTGTTATTTGATTATTGTTTTAAGTTTTCTTTGAACAGATTGTAAAGACGGCTGTACTTTCCAACAGCCTCGACGAGCAGATCGTCAGAGGAGCAAAGTGAGAGCCGCGTAGTTCACCCACTTTCCTGCACGAACACGGTTCACAAAGTTCTGATCAATCACACGACACACGACACATACCCTGYGGGAAAAAGTTCTGCCAGGGTGCAGTACACAGAACGAAAAACACGTTTGTTTTTTTGTTTGTTTTTTAACGCAACCACAGCGAGAAAATACTTCAGAATTTCTGATTCCACCTCAACTCGAGTCAAAAGAAAACAGCATCCACCTGCACCTCCCTTAATCTGTACAAATCTGACGCATGGCCTGCTTGGATTATTTTTACTGTGTATCACTGTTAGAGGTCAAAGGTCAAACTTGGCCTTGGAATGATTAATAATAATAATAATAATAATAATAATAATAATAATAATAATAATAATAATAATAATAATAATAATGCATTTTATTTATAAAGCGCCTTTCAGGACACCCAAGGACGCTGTACAATAGAAAAGAAATAACTGTAAATACATAGAGTGATAGGGTAGTGTGGCAGAAACATAGAAATGAGAAGTACAGAACAGTCATGTAATGAAATAAAAAAAAAACAGATAAGTTGAACAAGAGGGTTGTGGGGCAGAAACAGAAATTTATGTGATTTCTTGCCAGAATAACAGTCCCCAAAGAAGAGTTGACCAGATCAGATGAACTGGTAATTTAGGATTTTATAAACTACAAAAGTGACAGAAGTTTTTCACAGTTTGAGACGATAAACCTCAACATATTTTACTGGGACTTTTTGTGACTGACTCAACACAAAGTAGCACGAACTTTGAAGCAGAAATGCACGCCGCACCTCCGATTTTGTGTTTAACTTTTTTGCCCAACTTCACAACTATACACTGTTTTATGTTGGTTTATTATTTTAAAATCCCAGTAAAACACTTTGAAACTTGTGGTTATGAGATGATAAAATATGGAAACGTTGAAGGAAGGCGTAGGAAAACCTTTTCAGGGCCCAACATGTTGCACATCTTTCTGGAGTTCTGCAATTTCCTTTTGTCTGTGCAGGCACATCAAAGCAAAGGACTTTGRAAATATGAACTAACAAAAAGGAAGTTGCATGTTGAATGTGATGTGGCTGCATAAGCTTCTCAACATAAACATCTTTTGATCAAAGATCGAGATGTTTATTTATAGCCCAGGCACCCAAGATGGCAGAGCTCTGCTCCACACATGATGTGATAGTTTGG